CGGGAATCGGGGTCACCCCTATCGTTTCTGTGCCCTTTCCAAAGGCAGCACCCGCCCGAAGGCGAAGGGGCCGCGCTCACCCTGCAGCAGGTACTCCTCGAAGAGCATGGCCGTGTCCCCCAGCAGCTCCAGCGGCCCCGCGGGCGAGCGTCCCCGGCCTCAGCCTCGCTCCTGCCGCCCTGTACTTTGCACGGGGCGCCCGGACGTGGCTCCGCACCTCTCTTATCTCCCAGCCTCGCCAGCACGGTGCCGATGGCGGCACAACGCCGTGTCCCCGTTCGCTCAGGGCTACTGCGGGCACCTGGGGCTGGGGGCTGGCCATGCTGCCCATGCAAGGACTGTTAGCCCTCATTTGGGGTTTAACGAGCTCTCGTGCTAGCCCTGTCCTGACGTGTGCCCTCACTGCAGCTCTGGGGAGAGGGAACACAAAAGGGGAGCGTACAGCAGAGTGGGAGTAGTATAAACCACAAGTCCTGCTCAGTGCCACCTTTTATTGTGCACACTCACCATCTCTGCCCTCAAGGCTCAGCTGAGCTTCATGGAGGATTTTGTGCATAGCAGCCACCCAGAGCGAGGCAGCACACAGGCAAATCCGCCTGGCTGGATGTGGCCCCTTTGGACACATCCCAGCAGTCGGTGAGCGGGGCGCAAAGCAGGGCACAGAAATCCCCATGGTGCCCAGGGCTGGGACCTGGCTGTGCTCCAGCACTGGCCCGGTGAAGGCAAACCCAGATGCACCTTCTCCAGTGGTTCTGAGGTGATGGTTATTAAACCAAATCCTGCCGCAGATGCTGCTTGTGCCATGAGCACCGGGACTAGGGGAACAACGTGCTGTATCTGCAGTCTCCACGGGCATACCGATGCCAGCCCGTGCTCCCCTCCTCCCATGTCCCCTGGCATCCCTGCTGCCCTCTCCAGCCCTGGCTGAGAAGCCGTGTCCCATGTTCCCGCGCCCCAGGACGGCCCATCAGCTCGGCGTTGGCGGCCGCCTTGGCCTGCAGCTCCTTCTCTCTGGCCAGGTCGAGCAGGATTTTCAGTACCTGGGTGGGGACGTCAAGTGACAGGGACACCTTTCTCGCCTTTTTCCCGGGAGCAGGTCTCTTGGCGGCTGGGCCCATCGGCCAGGGCAATGCTTTTCTTGCTGTCCCCTCCAGCAGCGGGAGGCTGGCTTTCTCCGGGTAAGACCCTTCCCCAGATCCATGGTCTCCTCTCCTCATTTCGGGGAGACCCGGCGACATCTCATGAGTGCCGTTGGTTTTGTGCCTCACCGGCTTGCCTCCGTCCTCAGCGC